TAATTGGGTCCATGACAGTTGTGAGACTATTTATTTCTTATATTAATTGTCTTCTGACTCAATACTTTGACATTGCTTTTGGTATGTTGATGGGTTTCTTACATGAAGTACTAGATAATTTGGACTATCTGTAGCTCTGGAATAAGAATAATTTGCACCTGTATATCTATCTTGGTTGCTAAATTCTGATGCACAATGTTAATTCAGGCGGCCTGGTGGTGATCGAATTTATTTGGTTTTTGACCACCAACTCCCAGCTGCTATGAAAAAACTCCCTCTTGATCGTCATCTCTCAACATCAAATGTCCGGAAAGTTGTGTCAGAAGCTGATGGGTACCAGCCCCATTTAATTGCCCCTGAGCAAGGAATCAGAAGACTCATTGATGGATCACTTGGATACTTTAAAGGCCCTGCTGAGGCAACAGTTGATGCGGTAAAGTTCATTTCTACATTTATATATTATCTTGTTTATTACATGGCGACATTATTCTAAACTGGAAGTCAACATGTTAGAGTGAAGAGATGACTTACAAAAGCATCAATCTGCCGAAACATCCAACTTCAGAAATTCAGAGTGTCTATCTAATTGATAGTTACTTTTTAGAAGTTACTTATCTGACTCTCAGAAATCATCTTTTAAATGACAAAGGTCATAATTGTAGTTGTAGCTTATTATCTTACCATACCCAGAGTAATTGAATGAAGTGATAAATAATTGGACAATAACACATCTTTGGATCACAATGTACTAAATCAATTTTCCTAATAATTTGTCTTTTAGAACATTTTTTTTTTCCCGTTGTGTTTATAAATGCAATTTTAGTTGACCAATTTAAATAGGAGGCAGTATTTTTGGTCAGAGTTATATGTTGGACCAATTTATACCATAAATGGGAGCCATTGCATTGTTTCAAATGTTCAATATTTAAGTATTGTACTTTTCGTAATTGTTAGAGATTACTAGCTAAGGGATACTTTCCTCCCTAAATCGGTTAATTCATTCTCTGTACTATATCGTTTAATTCATTGAACTTTGTTTTTCACAGGTGCACCTGATTTTGAAAGAACTCGTCAGGAAGTCAATAGCTGCAACATTGGTGAGAAAATGAATATACACTAATACATCCACCCCCCCCCCCCCCAGTATTTATGCTTATGTACAGTCTTTTTGCACATAAGTCAAACATATATTCCATATCAGTTGTTGGTTTCTGAGTAATAACATCTCGTGATTCTTGCTTAGGACGGGCAACCTTTCTCATGAAGCTTTGACCATAGTTGCTATCCCTAGGATTGCTGAATTTAGAATATTTGTAAGCTTGAGTGTACATCTAGTCTTGCATTATTTTTATTTACTGCCTGCAAATGGCCATTTTTTTTTCCCTTCTGTCGTAACATTCTCTAGAATTAGTGTCCCTTACAAGTTGCTAACTTTAGCTCAGACCATTGTTTTGGATTATATTTTGTTTTTTGTTTTTATTGTTTTGGATTATAATAAATCAATGACAAGTTTTAAAGTTAACAAGAGCCACGTGCCTTATGTGTTCTGTAGAAGTGGAAAGTGAGACATGTATATTATAAAAACTCAACAAGGTTAGGTCACGTCTGCACACGGTAATTTACAATAACTATTCTTAAACTAACACTCTTTATTTATAAAAAATTAACTTGTCTAAAATACTAATTCATAAAATGGTTTTATTAAGAAAGAGTTTAATAGCCAAATAGATATTTTAAAATGCGCATATGACATTATGTATGTTTTTATATATTTCATCAACATATTTATATTCAGTTTCTTCTTGATGTAATAAACATATGAATAAATTTTTTTTCTACACACTATTAATTCACTCTTTCTTATGCAAGTATTTATTTCTCAATAATCAACTTTTTTTTATTCAATAAGCAACCATGTTAAAATATTATTCCATATCTTTCATGTCAACAATCTCAACATATATCTTTCATGGAAAAAAAAAATACATAATTAAATATTAAAAAAATGTTCAAATATAAATCCTCATTGTAATAATTGTAGTACATAAAACTCCGTATGTCATAAATTATGTTAAAAATCTGTTAACTAAGCAAGATTTGAATACTCTAAGCAGTGATCAATGTATATGCACTAATATACATCATTGGTTTTTATACATTTACTGCATTTTGATGTGTAGTGTAAGGGAACAGATAGAAAGCAGTCACAAATTAGAAGCTAACTACGATTATTAAGCACCAAGAAATGAAAATGAAGTGGTTGAATAGCTTAGCCTCTAAGGTTTTACCACCTTGACAAAAGCTTACAACACAGCAGAAAATGGCTCACTGATTCATCAAATAAGGGCTAGTGATAAATTAGGAAAAGAAGAATTGATTCTTATTTTGTAGGGGGGGAAAAAAAGATTATCCGTATCAAGCCACACAGCTTTAAAGAATAGTACCAAGGAGAGAAATTAGTACAATGAAGGCTTTAAGATTTTAGCTTGGTGCTGATCAACACAAAACATCATAATTAATTTGCTCAAGTAATATTGCAATTTTACCACCTATATTGCTCATGTTTTTTATAAAATTTGTCAAGTAATGTCAGAGCTTGGTGTCGAACATATATTAAGTATATTAGTTTGTAAATTGTAAAATTTTCATTTTAATTAGTGAGAGAATTAGAAATTCCCCTTGCATCTCCAATCTCCATGCTTTTTAAATAATAAAGGGATAAGATTCCATGAGTTACACATATATATTATACCAATACAAAAGGTTTCTCTGCTAATTTTGATGTTTTCCATCTCATAGGAGCTCAAGAGATTCCCATCACTTCAAAGTGATATAGCTGCAGCTGCTAATAACTCACTGGAAAGATTCCGAGATGAAAGTCGGAAAACTGTCGTGCGTCTGGTAGAGATGGAGTCCACGTACCTAACAGTTGAATTTTTCAGGAAGCTTCAACTCGAACCAGAGAAGAATACCGGAAACCAACCTGCTTCAAATTCTGATCGTTACACTGATAATCACCTTAGAAGAATTGGTAAGTTCATTTATGCTTCAAGTGTTGATCCCTGTATCTGGGTTTAGTTCACTGAAATTAAACTTTCTGCTCATTTCACATCATGTTGCCATATGCTTCATTTCTTATCACAATGATGCTAAAGCTGGAAATTTTTATTTGCTTTGCTTTCCAGGATCAAATGTCACAGCATATGTCGGTATGGTTTGTGACACATTGAAAAATTCTATTCCAAAGGCAGTTGTACATTTTCAAGTCCGAGAGGCAAAAAGAGCACTTCTAAACAACTTCTATGTTCAAATTGGGAAAAGAGAGGTAAATTCTGTATTAGTTTTGACATTGCCTTATCATTTGCTCCTGTAGAGTAATCTCTATCTTCAATTAAAGCTCCTCTGCACTGTTAGTGATTTTAGTTATGAACTTGTTGTATAGTAGTTATAGTAATTTCTCATTAAGGGCTAGGATAAATTGCATCAGTTACCTAATAAACTAACCACCTCGTTTTCCCACAGTAACACTTGTATCTTTTCTTTTGTCCTCTATTTTCTCAACTGTCTTAATTAATTATCCGGTAAATTACTGAATTGATTCCATAAAAACTATGCTTATTTTCTATCAAGTACCACTCTTGGAGAGGTCCAAATGTCAGCAGCCGTATCTTTAAGAGAACTTATCTCTGAGACTTCTTCAAGTTAACTGGTAGATTATTTCCTGAGGAAAGTAGCAGAAGAGAATATTACTGGAATTAAAGTAGTACTAACATCTTTACTAGCAGCATAAAAAGAAAGAAAACTTGACATTCTTAAAATCAATGAAGCAACACAAGGGCATTTTCTGGTGTACTTTGGATGAGCACTCTATGTAGTTAGCATCTTATTAGATCATAAGACAAACTGAAATCAGCTAATAATTTAGTTGGACAGTTTATGTGTTCTGTTAGCATTTTCTTGCTAATTACTACGCATGGTTGTACACAAGACGTAAATTATGATTCTTTTTTACTCTGTATATTAAATAATTTCCCAACTCTTTGTTTGCAAGAATGCATTTGTTTACTTTATCTGAATCCTCCTGTACAGATGCATGTAATGGAAGAATTGGTAATGAGATATATATTAGAAATAGGAGCTGTGTGTGTTTGTGCGTGGTTTCCTTTTAGAAAGTTGTCGAATATAATATTTCTCTTGGTTAGTAATACTTGGGGTTCATCAATATGCAGAAAGATCAGCTTAGTGCCATGTTGGATGAAGATCCTGCATTAATGTCCAGAAGAGAATCACTATCAAAGAGGCTTCAACTCTACAAGTCAGCAAGGGATGATATTGATTCCGTGGCATGGAACAGATGAAGACTCACGCATGATTGAGTCTTTCAGGTTCTCACTGTCTGTTGTAAACGAACTATGCAGTAGTGAAAGGTAAAAGGCCCTCTTACAAGCTACGTATGATTGATTATTCAATTCACACCTACACATACATCCCTGACACAATTCATGAGATCTTGAGAACATCACTTCTCTTTTGAGCACCAATTTTGAGATATAGGATGTAGGTGATTTAAAGTGTTCTCTGAGGAGATATCAATGTGTTTCTTACACTACCAATATGGCTTTGGTCCTTTGTTATTGTAATTCTTTTGTGAAAAACACAACAATGGCTCTGTCAGATATCTGATACAAAGTATATTATCTAAAAATGAGGGAGTATACTTGTAAATTGTGTTTTGCTGCATTTTTTACACAATGAGAGCATATTGAGTAATGAATTTGTGTGGTAATATAATTCGGCTGTGCAACATACTTTTGGTGATTGATATGCGTAGAAACTTGAGGTTCGATCCGACTCACCCAGCTCAAGACCAGTTATTTCTATTACTCGTACTACTAATTTTTGACGAGAAATCAGTCATGTTACAACAAATGCAACATTGTTAATAAAATTACTACCTGCAACTGCAACATTGTTAATAAAATTACTGCATGATACTTGGAATTGATCCGATTTTATATAAAATTTGGATTCAGGAAATATATCAATAAAAGCTATCTAGCTAGATTGAGTATATTTATTTGTCATATAATTCAAATTATACTTTTAATATGACAATAAATTCCGAACAAAGAGAGCATGTGCATGTATCTCTGAAATTTTATTCTTGTAATAGCTAGATTTATTGGGCTTTACCTAAAGAGCTCGAGATCTCAAGAAGAAAAGATCAAGATGTGAATCAAATCTTGGGAAACACTAATTGAAGAATAATGAAGTTTATTCATTAGTTTTTAGTAGAAGCAAAACCACTTTTAAATGTCTCCCATGTCAAACCTTTCTCTATGTACTCAATATTGTTGGGGTTGAAAGGACCCTTAATCCTGTCTATTAACATAATTCTTGCTCTTTTTGGAAGAACACTTTTTGATGGATCTGGAGATGTCCCATAACTCAAGCATGAAGAAAATCCCTGCAATCAATAATCAAGCTCAGTTGAAACGTGCATTTTGATTAATAAACAATTCTTTCAATCTAAAATTAATAATCATGTTTTCCATATTATAATGTTTGAAATTGAAATAGCAACATTTTCTTATGAAAAAAAAATAAAAATAAACTAACTGCTTGATTTACACGCATTTTAGGTTGTGACTTTAGTTACTTTATTTATATTACTCCCTCCGTCTCTAAATTACATTTCTCTTTCTAGCATTTATTCCTCACATAATAGAGAGAAAGAGGAATGTAATTTAGGGACGGAGGGAGTATTATACTAATATTGTTGATGTGGTGTTATTTGCCAAATCAACTAATCATCTTACTACCTCCGTTACATGTTAAGTGCAACAAAGAGGCTTGCACACTTCCCAAGAAAAAAAATGAAAAAGTTGATTAGCAAAAATATGGGCATGTGATTATGACATGTAAATTAAAATGTAAACCCTACCATCATTATCACCCACTGCATCACCACCACCACCCATTTTCGCCACTATCAACAAACACACCACCAACCACCGTACGAACCACCAAAAGTACCATAACAGCCGCCGAAACCACCATACCAACCCACCACACTACCACCAAGATCCTAAAACCCACCTTAGAACTACCGAAAACCCCGCCATAACCACCAAAAACCACCACCCATCCCGAAGCCACCACAAACCCACTTTTAAAACCGGTCATAATTCCCCCAAATTCACCTCCCATATTTGCCAATTTTTCTTTAGATTTGAGTTTTCAAACTTAATATTTCATTCCGATCCCCTTTTGGGTTTTCAATTTCTAGGGTTTTAATCTCAATTTCGACAAGGGGGGCGGGGACTCTCACGAGGAGAGGCAGCGACTCTAACGGGAGGGGTTAGAGGTCGAAACGGTGGCCTTTGGTGGTCGTAGTCGTAGTGGTCGATGGTTTGTGGTGGTCGTGGTGTCGGTGGTGAACAGGTGGTGTTGGTGGTATGGTTTCGGTGGTGTTGATGGTAGAATTGATGATCTTGGGTTGGTGGTGTTTGCGGTGGTCGTTGATGATGATGGTGGTTCTGTTTTCAGGTATAAGAGAAGAAAGGGGGTAGGAGAGAGAAGGGGGTGATTATTTGATTAATTGAATTTGGGTTAGTAAATTAAGTATTGTTATTAATTTTAAATTGGGGGTATTGTGGTAATTTTATTTTAAAAAACTTACCTAAAAAGGAAAGAAATTTTTTGTTGCACATAAAGTGTAGCATCCGTTTTTGGAAAATGTTGCACAAAACATGTAACGGAGGTAGTATTTGTTATTGAGTACTAAAGATTCCTTTTACCCTCTTTTTTATTTGAATAATGTGCGAGTTAGATAGATGATTTTGCTATGACGAAATTAACTTCCATGGGAATTTATGAAATTTGAAAAGTCTGTGACGAATTGATGGAATAATGTGACAATTAATTTTTGAGTTAGAAAATACATATGGCATATGAATTATAATGTAAAGAGAGAATATGTAAAGAAGTTGAGATGTGAGAACTATGAATAATGGTGTCACCTTAAAGATGAGAACTTCTACTTGTTGATCATCAACCATAGCTGTCACAAGCAGAGCTTCTCCTCTGGCTGACTGACTATACATTTCCAGTATAGCTATTTCTTCATTGTAACCATAACTTTCATCATCTTCTTCGTCGTATCGTACTCTTCTCCTTGCCCTGCAACATAATGTTTTACATGTTGGGGTGCTTGTATTATCATCGGATTTGAATTTGTAGAATGATAAATTGCAGATTAAGTTTCGGTAAGAAGAATCGATGTTCTTGTACCCATGTAAATGGGTTGAATTAGATAGTGATGAATAAATAGCAGGCCTTAAATTGTTAATGCTATTCAGAAACATTGTACGATTTAGTTCTTGCATTAGCAAGTTATATTATGTGGCTATCAACTGATGTATATTTGTCTGAAGCTTGAAGATAAGGTTTTTATAAGATTATGTTTCGCAAATTATCTCTACTTGTCTTGTTGTCTTTGATGGAATGTCGTTGTTAAACTCAAGAATATTGTGGAGAAAACGGCTTAGCATTTGCATTGATATTAATCACATATATATACACAATACAATAGGAAACTCAACTTGCCTAAAACTCCTAACAAGATAAACTTAACAAATATACAAACTTAATGCAAATACACCAAACCGACTCTAATAGTGGTTGTAGGCACGAAAAATTTATATAAGTGCCACATTGGATATTATATGGGTCAAAAGTTAATTTATTGACTTGATGCTAATTTGACTATTAATTAAAATTAATTAAATTGGGTGAATCAATTAAATTGGCCCATTTTAGTTATTTTAATTAAATTGTTTATTTAATAGTTTAAACCCATAAAAAAATGGGTTATAATAACCAAGCAGGCCCACCTTTATTGTACATCAAACCCTAACACTAGGGTGTCTCACTCTATAAATAGAGACTCTCTAATTCATTTGAGGAGAGGGGAAAGGAAACAGAAAGAAAAACCTAGAGAGAAACTTAGAGAGAAACCTAGAGAAAACAAGGAGAATCAAATACAAAAAAGCCTCTCAAATACTCTAAACCTCTCTAAAGAAAATCTGTCATCAAATACTCTAAATCTCTCCAGAGAAAACCCCTCATCAAATACTCTAAACCATTTTAGAGATTACATCTCAAAGCCTAGAAGAAGAACAACAAGCATTCGACTTGTCGTTCTACTCTAAAAGATCACTTGTGGAAGAGATCAAGCCTCGACGACCCTCAACACGAAGGAAAGAAGGACTTCAAATCATCAAAATCTCTACATCAAATAGTCATTGATCGAGATCAAGCCTCGTCGGCCCTCAATCAAGAATTCAAGTCAAAGGTCTACATCAACAATAAGTCAAAGGTCTACATCAAAGATAAGTCAAAGGTCTGCATCAAATCTTCGATCGAGATCAAGCCTCGACGGCCCTCGTTCGAGAATCAAGTCAATCTTTGAATTACGTCAAAGTCAAAGTGGAGATCGAATCAGAGGATCAAATTAGAGATTGTACCCAATATTATCATATTAATAAAATTAACACTTTGTTACATTTATTTTAAATCTATATTTTGCAGATTTAAAATTTGTGTTTACAAATTTGGCACGCTCGGTGGGACAATTTCTACCTCTCATCTCTTTCTCCACGAATCGAAATGATGAAGTACGTAGAAGGAATGATGACAAAAGACGGTGCACAAGACGACGTCGTCAATGTCATGGCAATTGAAGCAAACACCATCAAGGAGGAGTTGGCAAATATGAAGCTACTTCTTGAGAAGCTCATCAAGGACAATGAAGAAAAGGGGGCACAAATTAAGCTCCAAAATGAACAAATTGCTGCACTCGAAAGAAGACTCGAGAAGCACCCAATTGAAGAAAGTGAAGATGATAGAAGCGAGTCAGAACTTAGCACTAAGACAAAGCTTAGTTCAAAAGGTGAAAAGCCCAATGGTGATTCATTCAGCTTCCAAGCAATCCAAGAGATGATAGCCAATGCTATTAAACATCAACTCGGTAGAGACGTCAACGAAGATGGTCTCTACAGCAAACCTTACACCAAGAGGATTGATAAGATGAGAATGCCAAACGGCTATCAACCTCCGAAATTTCAGCAATTCGATGGGACAAGCAACCCCGAGCAACGTATTTCTCACTTCATAGAGACCTGCAATAATGCTGGGACCTCTGAAGATTTGCTTGTAAAGCAATTTGTCCGCTCTCTCAAAAGTGTTGCTTTCGATTGGTACACAGATCTACCTCGCAAATCCATCGACAGTTGGCAGCAAATGGAAGAAATGTTCCTCGATCGCTTCTTCAGCACTCGGCGCGTTGTCAGCATGACTGAGTTGACACAAACCAACTAGTTGGAAGATGAACCAGTTGTGGACTACATCAATCGATGGCGAGAATTAAGCCATCAATGCAAAGATCATTTGTTCGAAACATCGGCTGTCGAGATGTGCATCCAAGGCATGAATTGGGATCTTGCTTACATCTTGCAGGGAATCAAGCCCAAAACATTCCAAGACTTGGCGACTCGAGCTCATGAGATGGAGTTTACGATAGCCAATCGTGAAGAGAGATCCGATTAAATGATCAACTTCCAAAGGGGCAAAGATGAAAAAGTGGTCCTCGAAGCTCCTAAGCAAGAGCCTAAACTGCATAATAAAAAAAATCACACAAATTGAACTACATCCGGCTTGATCCAAAAAGTAAATTTCAATAACTTATTGGTACGTAGGCATCTTGGATATATAAAATTTATTCAAGGGCAGTCATTAAAAAAATGATAAACTACAAGATTGGGGGCAAGTATCAATTTGTTCCCCGAAAGTCGAATGATGTCAGTTGAAGATTGGAGAAAGCTTTCAAGCACCAATACTTCACCAAATTTACTTATAAATCCGGAGAAAGCAACAAGCACCGGAGATTTACAAATCAAGTTGGACATGGACATCGGAGAAAGCTACGAAGCACCGATCCACCAAAGTTCTTGAGATCCGGAGAAAGCTTTCAAGCACCGGAGATCAACTCAAAGCGTTCAACATGAAGATTGGAGAAAGCTACCAAGCACCAATACTTCACCAAGTTTACTTGAAAATCAATCTGGAGAAAGTTGCGAGCACTGGAGATTCGTAAATTGATCGAACATGGATGTTTGAAAAAAACTTCCAAGCACCAGTAGTCCATCAAAATTTTTGAGATCTGGAGAAAGCTTCTAAGCACCAGAGATCATTAAATCAAAGTGTTGGACATCAAGATCGGAGAAAGCTACCAATCACCGGTCCACCAAGCAAAGTTCTCGGAGATTGGAGAAAGCTATCAAGCACCAATATTTTACCAACAAATTTTGAAGATTTAAAGAAAGCCACCAAAATTCAAAGATCTGCAGAGAGAAGGAAAAAAAAAAAGTGACGTTGATATCATGATCCAAGCATGATAATTTTTTAAATAAAAAAAAAAAAAAAAATGTCAGTCACGTGGCTTGTGATCAATATTTCATGATCACCATGAAATTAATATCAAGTGTCTGATATGATATATTAATAAACAAGAAATACTCCACTTAGTTTCTTTCTCAAGACTCATTAAAGCAAGCTGCAAGCAACTTCAAATTTCAGAGCATACGATGATACGACCTATTATCAAGTCACTCAAGAAATAGTCCGTATGGTTGTCTATCCAGCCAAGATTACGCGTACGAGAGGCTTGAACGTAGCTTCAACATGATGCGATCAAGACTCAGGTCGTGAACTAAAGTATGGTGCGTCGTAGACGGGGACGTCAAGGCTCCGTAGTGCGGTTTGATGAGCTAAAGCGAGAAAGAGTACTTCCAGCAGTGTTGTACCTCTTCCGTAGCGTTGTACCAGTTTCGGAGTCTGATGAGTGTCGATGCTCTAGCAGTGTCGTCTGTATAAGGTGCACTTCTGGTCGAGACCTGGGCTTCCGAGATTGATGATGGCTCTCCAGGGAACAAAGAAAGATCACGTACAAACCTGAAAAAAAAAAAAAAAAAAAAAAAAAGAAAAAGACAATGACTTTCGATGTTGACTCCTCATCTTCTTGGCGTGGTGTTTCGGCGTGGTATCAAATCAATTGTCGTGGCGTGGCATGGCGGCTCCCTCTAGTGTGGCATTAGTCGTGGCGTGGCATGGCGGCTCCCTCTACTGTGGCATCGTTTGAATCTTGTGGTGTGACGACTTCCCCATGCTAATATGCTATTGATGTCAAGAAAATGGTGCTCCTCCGTGGCTCCATGGCGGGTGCCGGTTCGATACCTTCAAGTAGTAGCTCCATAGTATCATGGGCTAAGAATGACTTCTCCTTTCTCACGTTTGGATATTCAATGGCAAAATATAAACTTCACCAAGGTCCTATATTTATAGGATAAATTTGATGGAGTTAACAAACTCTTGACAAGATAGACTTGGTATATATAGAACTTATCAAGTTGTTGACTAATACGTGAGTTGGGGAATGTTTCAGCTTGAATGTTTCAAAACTTATCTTTCATTATTCCTCTTTATAATGAAACACACAAAAAAAAAAAAAAAAAAAACAAAAAAAAAAAGAGATAAAGCCAAGCATTTTGTCATTCTCGTAGGTGTTGGAAGAATGAGTTTGTTACATTGTAATATGAAAACTCAGCTCATAAGAGCATTATCATTTTCTTTCAAAACAAAAAAAAAAAAAAAAGTTTCGAGTCCGATCACGATCAAACACTCCAAATCGTGTCCGTGACCGATCTCGAAGGGGGCAATTTGTAGGCACGAAAAATTTATATAAGTGCCACATTGGATATTATATGGGTCAAAAGTTAATTTCTTGAGTTGATGCTAATTTTTGACTATTAATTAAAATTAATTAAATTGGGTGAATAAATTAAATTAGCCCATTTTAGTTATTTTAATTAAATTGTTTATTTAATAGTTTAAACCCATAAAAAAAATGGGTTATAATAACCAAGCAGACCCACCTCCATTGTACATCAAACCCTAACCCTAGGGTGTCTCAGGAAACAGAAAGAAAAACTTAGAGAGAAACCTAGAGAAAATAAGGAGAATCAAATACAAAAAAGCCTCTCAAATACTCTGAAAACATCTCAAAGCCTAGAAGAAGAACAACAAGCATTCGACGTGCCGTTGTACTCTAGAAGATCACTCGTGGAAGAGATCAAGCCTCGACGACCCTCAACACGAAGGAAAGAAGGACTTCAAATCATCAAAATCTCTACATCAAATAGTCATTGATCGAGATCAAGCCTCGTCGGCCCTCAATCAAGAATTCAAGTCAAAGGTATACATCAACAACAAGTCAAAGGTCTACATCAAAGATAAGTCAAAGGTCTGGTCAAAGTGGAGATCGAATCAGAGGATCAAATTAGAGATTGTACCCAATATTATCATATTAATAAAATTA